TGGCAAACTGTTCAAAGATGCCCATAATATCAAAATAGGATAATGATCCAAAACCAGGATGTTGTTGTAGCTGTTGGTAAAGAATTTCAGTCTCTCTGATAGTTTTCCAGGCTGGCTTCTAGCCATCCTTCTGAGAGAAATGCTGCTAGAGGGAAAAAAAGACAAAACAATGACACCACAAGGAGTTCTAGCACCACCAGGCAAGTACCTGGATTCCACACACTTAGTCACCTCTGGGTTCATCTGACACATGAGTAAGGTTATAATTTCATTAAGTCATCTTAATTTAGACTTCTGTCACTCACAACCAACAAAGTCCTTCTTTTTATAGTACCATTTTCCTTACTGTGACCTTTTTCCAAGTTGAGCAAGAGAGATATTGAGGAATATCTGTTCAAAAGCTAATTATCCCTTGTTCTCAGCTTTGAGAATCCTCTAACTACACTCTTCACTCAAAACATTCCATATACCTTATCTCTTAAAGGCAGCTTACATATGATGCTGTTTCAAAACAGAATACTTTGGGTTTGGACAAAGTATTTGACTAGTTTATATTGGCCATGCATAGAAATAGATGCTCTTAAGACTGTTTTTGATGCTTGTGTCTGTTGGCTACTTTAAGTCATGAATGCCATTCTTCCAGGGTTCCTAAAGCCAAAGTCTTAACTATTGAAACTTAACTATTGAAGTACTAAATTTGTGAAGTACTAAGTTTACTTCCTACATCCACTGCTCCAGCTGAAGCAGTATGAGCTGTGCTAATAAGGAGATCTATTTTGCTCATGCCTAGAATGGCTATGAACTGTCTAATCAGAATGCCATGCACAGCTATGTTGCATGGACCCTTGGACTGCCCTAATGCTTACTGCATGATACTGACCCTACCTTCTTTATTTTCTCTCCACCCATTATATGTCTCCTTAAGCAGCGTGATGAAAAACTCAAGGAAGACAGCATTATCAACCAACTCATCATACTTTCATGAAAACTGTCATGCATAAATATAGGATAAGCAACTTCTTTTATTTCAAGAGGAGCACAACTCTGTCATCTGAAACAAATACTTTTGGTATAATTACTCTCTAATTATTATGGGATTTTAATCTCATCATGGGTGCATGAAAGCTGCTTTCAAATGTTGAAAAGATGTGTTATAAAATATTCATATTTTGGATGGCCTTAAGGAGCAGACTATGTGGATATTAGGGAAAAAATCACTTTAGTATAGGAAAGAATGTTTTCAATTTCAGAGTTACCTCAGTTTAGTAGTTGGTGATATTTCTGTCACTGTGGTAAGTGTCAGTGAGTTAACAAGCACAGGGTTGAAATATCAGTGCTCAGCATCCAAAAAACTATTTTAGTCTGGAACAAAGAATCTTCTCTCTGAGTTTCTCATCATGAGTCCCCCTCCAAAAGCCTTGGGTTACTTTTCTGTATGTTCACTTTCTGCATCACGAGCAAAACTTCCATCTGGTCTACCTTTTGGTCTACCAATCTGGAGTTCCTAAGTGCAGTTACCTGCCAGAACTGCTTTAAGGCTCTAGCGAATCTTTCTTCCCTGCTTCTGCTATGACTAATACCTCAAGGATTTATGCTAAATTTTCTTGATTTTGTCTAATTAGTTGCAAAATGTAGCTATGCTGACTTTCTAGTGAGTGAAAATACTTTCCGTGAGCTATGAAAGTTTCTTTCTGACTGAACAATGTTACCTTTATAATTCTTTTTTTTCCCCTGACAGGTATGGTGGCCCTCATTTAAGAGCACCTAACTATAGATTTAGTTTTTATTTTTTTCCTATACTTAGATATTAATAGTACCATTAGTATTTTTTTTCTGAATATGTCTTTACTGGCTTCCAAGTTGACAAACCAAATATGTTTCTAGAAAATATTTCCTGAGACACGGAGGGTTGCAATAAAGAAGGCTTACTGGAATCACTGGGGTGATTAACATTTTTTTTTCTTTTCTTAAAGAAGAAAGATTAGGCATATCTGCCATGAGTGTATATAGTTAACATAAACGTTAAAATATAAAATTTTTAGTAAAAGAGATATGAAATTTTCAATTTGTTTTGAAATATTAGTTCGTTCACAGTTACTTTAAGACATAGTTCAATAATGCCCTATGTTAACATGCTTTTTAAGCTTATCATCTTCTCTTCTGTCAGACCATATAATTCAAGTATATTTTTCCATACTTCATGAATTACTTCATGCAACAATAATCCAGAAAGAAAAACATTCTGAGTGTTCAAACATAATGAAGAAAGCTATAAATGTAAGATATTAATTTTACAAAGTTATGGAAAGTGGAAATCATTCAGCATACTTTGGTCTAACACAGCATCAGACAAGCAGAATGCTGCATAGATTCACCTTAGAATGATATTTTTCAGAGTATTGAGCTCAAGCTCCTGCTGTATAGCTGACCAGTGATTGTAAGATACTTTCCTTAGAAACAAGGGCCAGTGATTCATAGGTTGGCTTAAAATGAATTTAAAAATCTCTCAACTAGGGTATTCCTTTTATAAGAACTTTATCTAATTTTGATAATTAATATACCTTAATTATACTGTATTATACAAATACCCTATAATTAAGTTTCTATAAATGACTACTTCTTATGACAAAGTAAATATTCAACCATCAGATGTTGAGAGAGACAAGAACTAGGAAGCAGTTATGAAGAGAGACAGTCAATTTGCTTGGTGTTGCCCTCCCAATATTAATGAGGTTCTTGTGGGCCAGGCTGTGCTCTTGATTAAATTGAAGTGGCTTCGTGTATTGGGCAGTATTAATATTTAGGGTGATAGCATATGCCCTGAGAAAGTGAGTAGAACAGAAAAAAATAATTGGTGTACATAGTACAAACTTGGCTTATGCAAGATACAGGGATTTTTTTTATGAAAAGCTTAAAATAAAGCTCTGGAATTTCTATGTCAAAGCTTGAATTAATCTTTGTAAAAGATCAAAGCTTGACACTGACATCCTGTTTTAAGGAGGAATTTCATGAATATAATTCAGAGGTCTCCAACTAATATTCTTAATTTTAAATTGAGTATACTTATGCCAGAAAACTCACTGTTGTTGCTAATGCATATGATAACAACCAATAGTAATATACACTCTTTAGACTTGAATAAATCTTTGCACACCCCTTTTTTGAGTACTAAGTAATCTTAAATGTATCCAAAGTAAAACAAACTATGAAAAATGTAAACAAAATGGCAAGTCAAACCAATAAAGTCAAGTGAAAAGTTTCTCCTTAATTTTAGTAAATATTCATTGAAAAATATTTAGGACACCAAATTCTAGAACTAGAAGTCTCAATAAATATTCTAAATCTAGATGTTTTAAAAGCTTAACATAGTAAGGAGGAAATAAACAGCATGCTTGATGGAGTGTTTGCATGCCAACTTTCAACAGGCTACCCAAGCCACAAAGAGACCCTCTGCCTCCTCTGTATCCGTTCTCCCAATGTCTTCCTTCTGTGCATGAATGTTCTTTTTCAGTATTCCTTTAGTTTAGTTAATATCTTCAGTCTTCCTCCATCTCTACCATTTTAGCTACTTTCTCACAGAACAATGACATTGCTAGAGCTCCTGACTAAATCAACATTGCCTTGCATAAAGTCGAAGTACTTTTTAAAACTCAAAATATTAAGTGATCTCTCATCCAGACCATTCTTTACCCTCTGTGAATTCCCCTCCCCTTTAAGCTGGATAGTTGGCACCTTATCAAACCTTATCTTGGAAGTGACCCCTATTCTCCTCATGAATCAGAACTCAGAACTTTCCAAAGTTTTCCAAAGTTTTCCTCAGAACTTTCCCCATGCTTCTTCTTGACTGGAATGTTCTCTCCACTTTCCTGCACATTTTACGTAAGCAGTTTCTACTTTCTTATCATACCTCAGTTCCTATGAAGAGAACCTGACCTGCCTTGACCTAAAGTGCCATACTTTGTGATTCTCAAGTGTTCTATGAATACATCAATCACAGGATTTTTGGTAGTATACTAAAATTATCAGTTGCTGAGTCAAATACTATTCCTGACAACAAAAGAGAAGGCATTGACAATTTAAAATCTTGTTGAACTCTAGAACCTTACTGATTGCTTGAAAAATACTTAACCACTTGAGTAAAGTGAACTTAATCTTATAAGTTTTTAAATAGCTAACCTCAAGAAAGTGTCTTTTCATATGTAGAGGCCCAGAGCATTGTCTTAGAAGACTAACTACCTCATTGCCTGAAACAACATCAGTGCTTTGCCTAAAGCAGATAGTGACTGTCCAGAACAGTAGTTAGTAACAGTAGTAACAGTAGTAACTGTAACAGTAGTTAGTAGTGGATCTCCAGGCATGTGAGAACCCACATTCTTTCATATTAGAATTCTATAATTGTGACTGCAGTTCAGTAACCCTACACAAGCAGTGCGTCTCTGTTGATATAGAGCCTAAAGTCCTCATTATCTTATATATCAGCATGGGGGAGGGGTTATGAACAGAATCTTCATAAATATCCTCCTATTTTCAAAAAGGTATCCACATGCCAAGTAAATGAAGATAATCACCCATGTGCCAACTCTTCAAAGCTGTTCTTTGCCCTGCCTAGCTCTCAGGTAGCAGGGATTTGTGTTTAAAACTGCAATAATTTCACTTTAACATACCAATACAACAATATCCAGTGGATGTTTTCTAAACAAAGAAAGTTTAGATAATACCAAATATGAACGGTAACATTTTACTTATTTAGTAATGACAGACTAAAATTATTTATCACATCCTTTTTGTTTTATATTCTATAAAGAGGATACCATTCCAAAATAATATAGAATATTATTTTTGAAGATATTGAAGATCTTAAAAGCAATTGCATCTTCAGGAAAGAATATTTCAGAATTAAACCTTACAGAATGGCTCTCCCCTCCCCCTCCACTTCATGAGTGACTCATTCACACTCTCTCCACCTCATTTCCAGAGACCACTGATAAGAAATCCCTTACTTGGTGTTGTGTGTGTCAATGGTGTGGAAGAGCTCGTGTAGTTCTGCTCCACTGAGAACTCCATCTGAAAAATACGCTTTAAATTCTTCAAAGGACAATTTCCCATCGTCTGAAATAAGAACAAACAGAAGAAAAGCAAATCACTCCAACCTTGAGCACCGTCCACTTTTGATTTTTAAAACTTAGTCCTAGCATCTGTGCTTGTTTAGTTTGGATGACACACATACATTAAAAAAGAAAGGAAGAAGGAAACCTTTGAAATGTTAATAAAAAACAATTTACTGTCTTTTCATTGGACATAGCACACCAATGCATGCACTGGTTTTGAATATTTTTGGTTGTTTTGGGTTTTGGTATTTTTTGCCACGACAAATGTAACACTTAAGGAAATGTTTACCTAGCTATAGAAAATGAAAGCCTCACAGCCACACAAAGGGCCAAGCAGACATTTTGCTTTCATGATACCAAGCCTACACAGAATGTAGCAGACCACAAGATAAATACAAGATGCCTAACAAGTGTGCTTTGATTGAATATTTACACAAGGATACGAGTTATTATAATTCACCAAACTATATTCCTTGTTGTATTCATTCAATTAGTGACTGCTTTTACAGCCAAACATGTTTCTTATGTGAAACACAATAGTGCTGCTATACAATCAGAGTCGAATAAAGGATAAGATGTCGAGACATAAACGGAAGTATTTTTGCACAGCTGGGAGCAGTAAAATTCAATAAGAGACAGGTGAAAAAGGTAATAGATATTTTCATTTCAAAGAATAAGGGGCAGGGTTAGTATCATTTACACCTCACTTTGAAGAAAAGCTCTGGATAAGCATAGATGGAAAAAAAACAACCCACATTACCACCATGCTAAATATCTGTTCAGGGCACAGAAGGAACAAATCCAAAGGAACGATGGGCCCTTAAGGGAGAGGAGGCATCATTTTCTATGTAGACTCATTTGTCAGGTTTTTCAGAGAGGCTGCCAAATGACTCTAAACGATGGAATATGCCTTTGCATTTATAATATGGGGAGCTCCAAGCTGAGGAAGAATTTTCCTGGGATGACAAAAGTCCTCACAACAATACTGCATAAACAAAATAGAATCCTATCGTTAAATAAAAGCATAGTTTAATCGGACTAGACCATCAAGATTATTTAGAGTGTTTTCAACAGATGTTCCCAGACCACCCCAAGGACTGTTGAAACGCTGACTCCAGAATGCTGCTCAAGTATCAGAACAGCACAAAGATCTCAGAGTGGGTTGGCAAAAAGGATGGTTTTTAACAATTTTGACAGCTTCTACTTACCTTAAACCCAGGAGGTTTGGGATGGGTGTGTGTATGTGTGGTGGAGGGGTAACGGGGTAGCAGGATATCATGGGAATGCGGGGGTTGGTGGAGGGGGTAACCTGAATATCATTTGAGATGTAAACAAATAGAATGATTAATAAAAATAAAAAAGATACTAAGTATGAGTCAGATTAGAAAAGAAGAGAAGAAAGAAGAAAAGAGCAGACCCGAATTACTTAATTCTTCAGGTAAAGACTTAAGAGCTGGGGAATTTTTTAATGATTATTTTTTACAATTAATTAGTTAATTTGTTTACATCCCAAACATTGCTCCCCCTCTCAGTTTCCCCCTCACTGAGTCCCTCCCTCCCCTCTTCCCTTTTCCTCTGAGAGAGTAGAACCCCCACTGGGTATCCCCTACCCTGGCACTTCACGTCTCCATGTCTCCCACTGAGGCCAGACAGGGCAGCCATGAAGTCTGAGCTGCCTGTCTGCTACATATGTGTGGTGGGGGGAAGGGGATGGAGTGGGGGGTGGGACCCTTTGGGCTGGGGAATTTTTAAAGATGCTGGTATGTGAAATACAGATGCTTGAGAGATGTGAATTTTTATTTCATTTTGCTTTTTAGTTTAACAGGCACAATATACCAAGCTTCCACTTAATTCTTGCTAACAGTTACCAGAGCAGATGATAAAACTTGAGATCTAGATCAACCGTACAAAGCATTCCTGACCTGAGTGATGTCCTGGACCAGTCGCTCACTGCCGTGCAACCCAGAGTAGCTCACTGCAGCGAGAACATCAATTCTCCAGCTTTCCCATTGTCTAGTTCCTGCTTGTTTTCAGGTAAGTTATGAACGTTTAGACCCATACAGCCTATTGTATAGTTGAATGTGCATCTTCTTATTGTGAAAAGGAAATGAATAAATCAGCAGAAAAAAATTGTCCATAGATTAGTTCTAGAGTCAAATGTAGTGGTACATACCTACAATGCCACCGCTCAGGAGGTTAAGGCAGAAAAATCTAGATTCCAAGGCTACAAAGTAAGGCCTTGCTTATAAACAAACTAACTAACTAATTAAAGAGAAAAAACTAGAAATGAACACACTGTTTTCTTCACTACTGCTTTGTTGTGCAATAAATATGACCTTACATGCTGACTATATGATGTGTCCGACAGTGAACCTTTCATATTTCTTTGGTGATTCGAGCCAGGCCTTAGAACTGTGGTTGCCTGTGCTTCCTGTGGGTAGGGCAGGCCTCTATATGCTGCTTTATAATTAGAGGAAAAAGTTCAAGTAGCAGTGCACATGCCATAAAATAAAAGCTTTGGCTAGCAAGTGCTCTGATAAAAAAAAATAACACAAAAAACTCCTATTGGCAAAAAATAATATCTAATAGGAGAAAGTAAGCATTAAATTGCAGTCCTGGCTCGATGGGTGGAAAGTATGTGTTGAAAGCTGTTTTTATCACATGCAGGATTCTTGAAAGTCTACATGACAGGCTGCCACATTGTAAAACAAGCAACTGCAAAGAATTCCTTTTGAGTAGCTCTGGATTAGTGCTAAAATGTTAAACAAAAGCTTAATGCAAAAGCTGAAAACCCCCTCCTTGTGTGATTCAGTATTAATATGGCAATTGTATTTTTATTAATATATTTTATTTCAACTTCAATATTTCTGCTGAAACCTTCTTTTGAAATGGAACAAAACAATGAAAACTTGGCTTAAAATCGGTTCACAAAATAGGCATGATTTCTGAGGCCACTTTCTGCCAAGGACAAAATTTAATTTTAACTGACAACACACACAGGCTTTTTAACATTTCTTTTAGTGCTTCATCACGGTTTGTCCTGGACATTTGCTCGTCTCAGATTTATTTATTTAATTTTGTAATTAAATTTGGTTTTGTCAAATTCATATATATATATATATATATATATATATATATATATATATAGAGAGAGAGAGAGAGAGAGAGAGAGAGACAGAGAGACAGAGAGACAGAGACAGAGACAGAGACGGAGATAGATAATTCTGATTGTTCTCCTTCCTACCATCCCCCTCTTTCTCTCTTCATCTTTCCTGCCAAACTCCCTTTTCCTGAGTAATCTCTTTCCCACATTCATATCTTCTTCTTTGTGTGTGTGCGTCCCTCTGGGTGTGGTCTGGGCCATCTGTGTGACTTTAGCATTGGAGCTATCCATTGGAGTCTGCTGATTATGCTAGTGGTTACACAACTAAAGACAGTGGCTATCTAGAGCCCACAATTCAGCAGTAAGGTGTACAGCCCCTTAAGCCCCTCCCTGGTTCATGACTGACAGTTGGAACAGTCTTGTGTAAGCCCAGTGCAGGTAATCTCACCAGTCTGGAGTTATGGCCGTATCGTGAGCACTGGGTCTAGAGTGTGACATTTTGCTGTCCTCTCCCTATCATTTAGTTTTACATTCTTTTTTAATCCCTTCTTCTATAGTGTCCCTGGAGCCTTACAAATTTTAGTATGTGAGTAGCCTCTGTCTAAGAAAAATAAATAGATATTTAGAGATATTTAGAAGACACATTGACATTTTGTCTATTCAGCTTTCCATCAGTAGTAATTTCCCTCTTATGATTTTTCTTATTTATTGAAGTTTTTTTTCATACAATATATTTTGATCATTCTTTCCCCTCCCCCAACTCCTCCCAGAATCTCCTTATCCCTACCCACACAACCCTCTCTCTCTCCTTCTCCCCATTCCTCTCCCCCTCTCTCTGTCTCTCCATGCCCCAGATAAATGAAAATAAAAAACAAGTAAAATATAAAAGATATCAAAACAAAATAAAAAGACCACAAACACTAAGTCTCTCTGTCTCTCTGTCTCTCTATCTTTCTCTGTCTCTCTCTCTCTCTGTCTCTCTCTCTCTGTGTGTGTGTGTGTGTGTGTGTGTGTGTGTGTGTGTGTGTGTTGACCAACTGCTACTGGGCATGGAGCCCACCCTAGTGACATTCCATTGAGAAAAACTGATTTTCCCTGTGCCAGTGGCAATCCTTAGCAAATAACTTCTGGCTAGAGGTGTGACCCTATGTCTACTTTCTCCTCAGTGCTGGAACCCCATCTGACTTGAGGCTATTCAGGTCTAGTATATACTGCCACAGTGTCTGTGAGTTCATGGGCATCAATCCTCTTGTGTCTAGAAGACACGGTTTCTGTTGTCTGTCATTTCTTTGTCTTTGTCTCCTTTCTTGGTATCTCCCAGAGCCATGAAAGCAGGAGAGAGGAATTGGTGACGACATCTTTAGGACTGGGAGCTCCAAAGTCTCTCACTCTCTGCGTGTTGTTCAATTGTGGGTCGCAATGTTAATTCCCATCTAGAGTATGAAGAAGCTTCTCCGTCCCATGAGGGATGAGCAAGGCACTGATCTATCACCATAGCAATGTGCAATATATAGATTTTTAGCATGGCTTACAGGGCCAGGCACAGAATCCTTCTGGGAAGCAAGGCTCATATCTAAGGCAAGAGTATCTGCCACCACTGCACACGGAAACACATACTGCCTGGCAGGTTTGTGTTTTAGTTCATATTGTTCATTACTGAGTAAGACTGTTTAGTGATTTCTTTCTTCATAGAATCCTACTAGCACTTTCTGATACATTGAAAGCTAGCCAGAAACTCAATTCCCCAATTCCTTGTAGCCATGACATGTGATATTGTCAACAATAGGGTTTTAGCATCTAGTTCTAGGGGTCAGCCAGGCAGAAAAGCAAAAGTCTGTATTGTTTTTGAGGACTCTGGGGGCTGTCCTGACCAACAAGTTCTATGGAGATGTCTAACA